GTTTTTTTAAAATGCCCATAACTTTGTCAAAATTTAATACATTCCAACAATGTTTTTACTCAAATGTCAGTAATTCTTGTCACTTCAAGATAGAATGATATAATTATTCATTATCATTATTTAAAATTTTTTATTTAACAATAAACAAAAAGTGCAAATTTTTTTTTAAACTTAATTTCTCAAAAAGTGTATTTTTTTTTCTCTCAAACTTCTTTACCGGGAAAGAGGCACTTTGAACTACAATCAACCGAAATCTCTAATAGCGAAGATTTTTTTTTCTGAGTTATGATATTTTATAGAAAATATACGTTTTTGTGGTACAAAATACTGAAGAATTGAATATGGGTGATATCTAGCATATATTAAGAAATGGACCTTTTTATAGAATGAATTATTATGTTTTTTAATGAATTTAATTATTTTTTTCAATGTAAATAACCTTTTTATCACTTAAGAAACCACGTTGATTTTATTAGTTACGTAAGTACTCTTTACTTGAAAAATTAATTTTTTATTACTTTCTAGGAAATTAATTAATTTATTAATTTGAAATGAAATACATCTGAAATTTATTGCAATGAACGCATTATGTTGTTCCATATTCTTTCTGCTTCGCCATTCGATGCTGAATTATTTTCCACAGGTGTGGATTCTTGTTGATTATCTGTGCTCAAAATGGTATCGGGAAATTGAACTTTGAAATGCTGAGAATTGTTGTGTAAAGCACAGCAAGCATTAACAATTTGCATAGCTTTTTCCGGCGCGTAGTGCAAACCCCTAGCAGAACACCTGAACTTGCTTTTCAGAACGCCAATAGTTCTCTCAATGGAGTTCCTTGCTTTAGCATAAATTTTGTTGTAGTTCCTTTGTGGTGAGCCATCAACTGTATTGCGAAATGGGGTCATTATAATTCTTCCTAGTGGATATCCTGCATCACCTAGAAATAATTTTATATACATTCCATATATGGGAATCATGATTAGAACCTGGGTATCTGGCGTCAACGAACCTGATATTCTGTTTATAGTCTGAAAACTAAAAAAAGTGAGTGCATGAATAATATTTAGATAAAGAAAATCAAGACTCACAATCATCACATTAAGGCTGTAGTAGCCTGTTCTGTTAAGATATAGATGCTGTACTTCATTTCGTGGTGCACAGATTCGAACATGCATACCGTCAACGCTGCCTATTACTCCTGGAAATCCACTTTGAGCGTAAACAGCCAGTTTGGAATTCTATACTTCATCAGGGGTCATCGCCGCCTTGATCCACCGTGTACAGACTCGTTGTTCTAGGATGTTTAGAGCTTCCTCAAGAACCACAGAAAATGTAGGTTGAGCTAAACCAACATTAAAATCGTTACCGCCACTCTTTTGGTAACTACCATCTGCAAAAAATCGTAACGCGGCGCATAATTTTATGATCGGTGATATAGCAGAGGTCCGCTTTGATTGCTTAAAGAAGTCCTTCGTCCCATTGAGTAAATATATAAACGCTTCTTTGTTCAGCATAAGTAACTAATGAATCTGAAAAAAGAACTATGAAAAATTTTCTGCAGTATCATTAATACAATAACGAACTTGGCCGTTGGTAGCACCAATGGATTAGTCTGGTCTCTAAGTCTCCTTCTAATACGTGTAAGTTGTACATTTTCTTCCTCTTCATCTTCCGAAAAATACATTTCCACGGAGATGTCCATAGTAAATAAATATATTTATATTTTCACACAACTTTTTGTATACTCCCAGCTGATTTGAGTGGTCAAAATTAACAATTTTCAGGTTGGCAATAACTTAACGAAGACAACTAAAATTGGTTGTGAATCATAATACAAAAAATTGTTGAGTTGAGTTGTAACATCATAATAGGAGCAATTATTAATGCTAGTATACAACGAAAAAGTGAGTAAATTTAATAAGCACAACATTTGTTGAGTTTATTTTTCGTTAATTTGCCATTAATATCCAGTTTGTTTACTTTAGTGGGTGCTGACTATGGTTGCCGTATGACATTTTACGTTTGTACCATACTTTTCCTTTAAATATACCAAAAGAGATTTAAATGCAGCATGCTGAAATGTTTTTTTGCTGAAGTTTTCGGTTTCGGTAGGTTGATTATGGAAATGGAAATTTTATAATTTTAAAGCTACATCTGTAGCTATATCTATTATTTTTTTTGGGTCAATGATGGGTGTTTGGAGGAGATACTCTTGTTTTTGAATGCGTCACCATGTGATACCACAAATAAATATGAGTAAAATAACTTATTCATTCCGATATAATTAATTTGTATTTTAAAAAGGTTTTTCTTATCCAAAACTATTCAATTGTATAAAATGCCAAATAGGGGGAAAATGTACCAAGCAGAAAATAAATTGCCAATTTAATCACCAGTGGCAACTGTGCAAGTGATCAGCTGTTTCAAAAGTTGCAAGTTTTTGCAAATTTTGCGTTCTCGAACTTCCGTTGATATTTCGTCTCTTTGAGAGCGAATGCTGCTAAATTCTCAGAACTTTTGTTGCTGGAGAATTTTGTCCTCTCAATGCGAGTACACACCTAATGTAAACATTTGGTTTTTCGAATGCGTGAATTTGGGTAAGTTTTGCAGTAAATCTCAATTGTTTTGTAATTTAATTATCTACTTAAACTATTTATTTGCAGAATATATTTCCCGAGGCAGAACGGAGAGTTATCAGCACTTTCCGTGCTCATGTGCAACCTCACTAATTGTGGAATTGTTGGCCAGATGCAGCGATACTATTCTGCATGTGAATTGTGAAATATAAAGCAATTTTCTGATTTCTTCGTTGAACATATCGCTGTAATATATAAATTATGGATTATTATTATGCATTTTTTAAATAATATCGCTGAGCAACAATGTACATATGCATGTGTGTATGTATGAGTGTACATACATATGTACAAGTACATGGTTTGTGAAAGAGTGTTGTGAATGAAATGAATGAAAGCCTGCCCCAAGGATTGTACCGCCGATTAAATGAAACAACAACCAAAGCAAGCAATTGAGTAAGCTGTAATTTTATGATGAGAATGACCGAAAACCCAAATATGTTAAAATATTTAATTTCTTTTGTTTAAAGATTAGGCCATCTTAGCTTTATATTGGCTTAACTTTTCAAATGGGCGATTCTATGCTTTGACGCGACACTTTCGGCAGGAGCACGGCATATTGCACATTTGCTACAAGAGTGCCATGATCCAAAAATGAAAAACTCGCATTGTAAAATGAATAAATATTTTGGTCTAGTGAGGTACTAGTAATCGATACAGCTATGAAATTTTTACATAAAAGAACAGATAGCGATAATTTCTGCATACTTAACTCGATTTTATATTATTTTGAATTGCCACTCTTGCAGCAAATGTGCGATATGTATGCATAACGTAAATAATTTCAATTTCGTATTAGAATTTCTATTTGGACCGTGTTTTTATTTACATTTTTACTAATTATGCATGTAATACATATGTATGTAAATTATGCTTTTGAAATTCATTTGTTTTATGCATATTCATCCAAAGAAGTTAAATAAATGATATTGAAACTTAAATCGCAGTCTAATACCGATACAGCAACGGTATGAATTACATGTTTACTTATTATTTAACCTTAAAAGTAAAATTATTTCTGTTAATACGTCGCTTAGATTTGACCTGTAGTCATTCACTATATATCTCAGTGTCGAAAATGCACGCTCTACACTCACTTGCGTTGACGGCGTTGCGTGAATAATTTGAGAAAGCTGGTAGAAAATTGTGTGTGAAAACTTTTTTCTTTCCCAGAAGTCGGCTAAATTGGTTTTAGTGTCGGTGGATTCGTTGAATGTTTCAATAGCCAAATAAGCTTCTGAAGTGTATGAGGCGCTGTATGTAGGTGAACTTATTTGATTTAATAATTTACCAAGTAAATCGGTACTTGTATCTTCGATACTACTCTCGCTCTCTGTTATAGAAATGCTGTGGGGTTGTGCAGACTGCAAAAAATATGAAAAAATAATATAGCTTTGGTGATATTGAAAATAACAATAATCATAAAAAGTACCTGTCAAAAATCGCACTAGCTTTTAAATGTAGCATTTTCAAATGCTCAACGGCTATTACTCTAATATGCGCAAATTCAGGACTTAGCAATAAACGATGTAATCTGGGGTTTAAATAAATGGCTGCAGCTACTGTTGCATTTTTTATTAGCATTTTCTTCCTTTTAGTAATCGAATGGAATAAAAGTCTTGAAATTTCAGATGCATCGGACCTTTTTTTTTACCGCCAAGCACATTTTCAAAAACATTGCTATGAAGTCGCCAAAAAGCAAGTTTTGGTTTTGTAACTTTTCTGTAGTTGCCTTTATAGGAGCAAAACTAATAAAAAAATCGTCTACAAAACTCCAGTCTACATCTGAGTTTTCAAAATTATGATCAAAGAAATCTCGAACAGCTTTTAAGCGCTTCACCAAATCCATACGGGTGGGGCAGTCAGCTATCGGTGGTAACAAATTATTATTGACCAGAAGTCGATGTACTGCTGGTGTGCGAAGATTTTTTGCAGTTAATCGAAATTTTTCAAACTTCAATTTTACATTTTCGTTTTTTATTACATGGTGTACACTCAATTATATCGTGGGAGCGGCACATCTTATAACAGCAAGAGAATCTGAAATTGAAATTATAACACAGTGCTACAAAGAAGAATGAAGTAGAAATACCTGGGAAGTGATGTAAATTTTCTTGTATGCCTTGTCGAGTAAGGTACTAAAAACTGGGTTTTGACCATAAGTCAAGATTTTTGGAGGTGTTCGGCAAATTTCATATTTCGATTCTTGTTTTATTTGACAAGACCTACAACAAAAAATAACATCACTTCCCATGTATTTTGGAGTGCCGCACAGTATAACGTATTGGGCATGATAAAAAAATGAATTTTAAAATTATTTTATTTGGCATGGTTTTACCTCATAGTATTTTTATCATGGTATTGAGAGGTAATTGATTACTTGGACTTACTGAGGTGAGAGGTCATACAATCGTCGAACTGTGGATCATCAAAAATGGTATCGCACGTTACAATCAATATGATCGCCTTCGTCATCATCAGAGTCAAAATCTAATATATTTGTACTTTCTTCATTTTCATTATCGACTTGTAAAAGGGAACCACACTTGACCATATTTCGACCGTTGTCGCTGGTGATACTGTATATTTGCTCAATATTAATTTCATATCTACATATGAAGGATAACAAATAACTTTAATAATATAAATGGCAGGAACTAAGACCATTTTTTGTGAACTTACCTTTCCAATGCCTCCAAAATTAATTGCTTTAAATTATCCGCCGTGTGCTGCTCTTTGAAATTTTTTACGACTAGAGTCTTGACTGTAATTTTCCCTTCACCTAACAATTGCGCATTTACGCAAACAACGCTTCGATAAAGCCGTTGTGCGCTGTCTGTTTTTATTGAAAATATTTTATTTTTGAAAAAATTCCGTAAGTACTGTATTTCAATTCCATTTTTTTTTTGTAAAATATGACTTATATTATTTCTGTTAATTTTGTTTAAATTCACTTGTTCGCAAATAGGACCTAATAATGTTTGAAAAGCGCTGCTGTTAAAACTTTTCGCTCATCGTCTTTGTAACCGTCAAATACCGCTTTATGCCTTCGGTGAAGATGCGATTTGAGGTTTCCGAGGTGGTCAGTCGTTAAGCACTTTCCACAAATTGTACAAGCCATCATGGCGTCTGTATTTTGTTTATACAAATTCCGGATAAAACTTCCCCTTTTCCTTCTCATTTTGGGGTTAAGTTGTTGACTTTTTATAATTATTTTTCAAATTTCAAGCACGCTTACTTCGTGCGCCTTCGTTTGTAGATATTAAATACGAGAGCAATGCGTGTCGTTTAGGTATTGCCAGCACAGATTAAAACGAAAACTATGTGTTGATTTATTTCGTTTAAACGTTAACGATTGAGTTTTGTTTCGTTAATTTAGCTTCGAAACGTAACGAAATTATTTTGATCCGTTTTTTTTCTCGCTAACGAAACGAAATCGATTTACATAGTTTGTTGAGCATCAATGCCAGAACCAAAGAAACTGTATTTATAGGGAATAAGTGTCTTGGTCGATGGGTTCAGGATTATGGCAGCCTTACGATAGAGGCCAATTTGTGTCTCTTTGGTTGATTCTCGGGCTGTTGAGCGCCATTTTGAGCGAGTCATATTTGCTTCTCACTAACCCGAAGTCGGCTGGACTATTTTTCCAGGCGAGTTTGTGAAAACCGTCAAACTGCCGGAAGAAGAGGAAAAAATTTAAGCTATTTTTCTTTGATTGATAAGTGAAAAAATATCAAGTGAACCATTAGTTTAACGTTATTGTGTTTGCTGCCGCTCAAATCTTAAATTTATAATTTTGAACGATTTGACATTTAGAGCTCTTCCGTACCTGCCGTCCCTTACTAGTGAACAGTTGCACATATCTCACATTTATCGTGAATATCGGCATAAGTCAAAAACTCTCGATAGGTTAGTCGTGCTTATATGTGAAATTACGACACTTTTCGTATTGCGCCGTTATCATTTCATAGTTTCAGTGAAATACTTAGTAACTTTTTTGGGAAACAACGACAATTTTCGTTTTGTGCCGTTGTTCAGCAATAATAATAGATTGGCGCTTACACATATGTTAGTGTTTGGCCGAGCTTCCCCTCCGACTTGTGGCGTGCGCCTTTATATTGTCACACAAAGCGGAGGGACCTACAGTTTAACGCCGACTCCGAACGGCGTTTGTGTTTTTTGTGAGAAGCTGTTTTTCATGGCAGAAGTACACTCGGAGGTTTGCCATTGCCTGCCGACGGACGACCCCTGTTAAGAAAAAACCTTTTTTCTATATTTTTTGCAATGTTGCTTTGACCAGGGTTTGAACCCGGGTGCTGCGGAGTGGAAGCGCGCACTGCTTACCACTACACCACAGCGGCCGATTCAGCGGTTCAGCAATACAAATGGAATTTTTTTCGATTAACTACTTACGAGTTGTTACTTATTTCGTATTTTTGCAGTCCTACACTTACTAAATCTTTAGCAAAAGTCATAATTTGAAAGCTTACAAATATTCTCTACTGAATGACTGCGAATAATCCGGAATAATTACGATGCAAGACATATTATTGCTAAATTACGAAACACAAAACCTTTAATTGGCTCTACTGAAATATATGAAATGAGTTGAGTTGTGTCGTTATGGCAGATTCCCATCGATATGTGGTGCGCTCTTGGCCATACATTTCGCACTTACGCTCGTTTGCCCGAAACTAGCCCGAAAATATAAAAAACAAACCTGATTTTAAGAAAGAGGGTAGGTAAAGTTACATACACAATCTGCAAAAAACTAAAATTTAATGCTGTATTTTTGGAAAATTTCCCCAATTTCCCCTACCTGGGTCCGCCACTGATAGTGCCGCACTAAATTATTGGCACACGGAATTTTTCACAATGCATGCAACATTTTTTACTTAAAATATTCGGCGAATTTTTTATAAAAACATTGTTGATACTGCAACAAAAAATTCAATAAATTTGCCTACATGTTGGCAATTTAAGATCTGCTTCATTTGAAATCTGGTAGTACTCTACATAGCACAACTTTGTTATCGACTACTCGATCAGCCGTTTATTTAGTGTGGTGATTTTGCAATTGTTGTTTTTATTACAGTTAATTTTCATATGCGTAACTTTAAAAATAATTGATGTGGAGAGCAAAGAACTTCAGCAAAGAAACTCGATTTTGGACGAATTCATGCAAAATCTACACATCTCTCAATGACGGTTAGTAAAACTGCTGAAAATTGGAAGGTCGACGGTACAAAATATATTGTCAAATATCAAGAAAAATGGCAGCATTGAGAGAAAGACGGAATCTGGCGGAAAATCAGGCAATATAAATAAAATAGTGTAGAAGGATGTTCTAAGGACTTTGAAAAGGAATGCGAATCTTTCTGAACATGTTATTGTACTTGGAGTGTTGTTCTGAGAACCTGTATTGTTTTGGCGTGATTTGCCAACAAGCCATTGTGCAAAAAAGCGCAAGAGTTTTATACACAAAATGGAATCAACATTGTACTAAAAGAGGCCAATCCCCCGAATTGCCCAGTGCTGCAAACGACCGAGCGTTATCGGGCCCATATGAAATCAAAATTAAAAAAACAAAATGCACGACTTCAAGAATAACGCAGTTCCGCAGAATGTGGCGAAAACAGGCTCAATCGATCAACGAAAGAGATGTCCAAGTATTAATGGTGGGTGTCATCTCTAAAGTACGGGTATTGTGGCGTGGAAATTAATTCTAATAATATTTGTAAATCTTCAATTTAAATAGAAATAAAACGTTCTAAAAAAGTTTCGACTGAATTATTCACATTTAAATTACCTTTTTTTGTTATCTAATACCTGCCAGATTTCAACTGAAGCAGATCTTAGTATAACAATGATCCAGTTTGAGGTTAGCAAAAAAATCGTATTGATCTTTGGGAATTTATTTGAAGGTAGTTTCTTCCAAACAAAAAAATATCGAACATACTTTGTACTTCATTCATTTTAACCGGGACACAATTACAAACTTTACTTTTACCATACGGCGTATAGTGGCGATTAGTAAATAGATATGTAAATATTTAAAGAGTTCTAATTTTTTTACAACGAGATATCTAAATTTCTTTCTTGCCAAAAACCGGGACATTTTGCGTCCCGGCAGGTATTGTACCGGGACCGGGACCGGGACATAGGTATTAAATCCGGAACAGTCCCGCCGAAAACGGGACGGTTGGCAACCGTGGTCTCAATCGCAATTTCGCCGTATAGTCAATGGGGGATCTACCTGCTTCTAGGTCTACTTATGCCCACTGTTTCACTCGCATTGCAGTCGACTTCGCAGGTCCAACATGTATAAATTTACGCATGGCCGCGGAGTGAAAGCCACCAAGGGCTACATCTGCTCGTTTGTGTGTATCTGCACCGGTGCTATGCATTTGGAATTCGTGAGTGTCCTGACTTCATTGGCATTCCTCAACGCCTTTAAAAGATTCATAAACCGTAGAGGATACTGCAAGGTGATGTTCTCTGACAATGGCACGAATTTCGTTGGCACTGAGGAGTTGCGCAACAATTTCAAACGGTGGATGGCAGACGACACACTCCGCTCGTTTTTTGCTGATTCGAATATCGAATGGCGTGTTAATACCCCGGCTGCACCTCACATGGGAGGATAAAGTACCATTTGAAACGCGGGTGAGACTTACTGTCCGGGTGAGACTTTACTGTCTTTCGAAGAGTTCAGCACGGTACTTACAGAAGTGGAGGCCTGTGTAAACTCCCGTCCGATATGCGAAAATCCGACAAGTGCAGGCGACCTCGAGGCATTGACTCCCGGACACTTTATCATAGGTGAGCCGTTGAAGTCACTCCCAGCACCTGAGGGTCAAGGTTTATGTGGAAATCTCTATCAACGTTGGCAGGTAATTTCTGCGATCCGACAGCATTTTTGGCGTCGTGAAGGGGCGAATACCTGGTGAGCTTACAGCGTCATTCCAAGTGGTTTCGATCCTCACGTAGTATCGAAGTAGGTGACGTGGTTGCTATATTCAATGAGCCTACTCCTCCAATAAAATGGGTCCTTGGCAAAGTCCCGAAATGCCACCCTGGAGCTGATGGACATGTAAGAGTAGTTAAGCTGAAGACTTCTAATGGAGAATATGTTAGACCTATAGCGAAAATTTGTCCTCTACCAACGAAAGGAGATCTATTTTGCGAAGACTTGTAGAAAATAAGTTTAACGAATAATCTTATATATAATATTTTCATCTATTTTTCCATACTATCGATGTAATTTTTGTTGAACATATCAAGATATTTCAAGGGCGGCGGTATGGTATGTTGAGTTCGAATAAGCTAATACTGAAGTTGTAAACCAAGTGTTAATATACACGCCCCCACAAGGGTTAATATTGTGACTCAACACAAGAGTTAACCACGATTGTCATTTGATATTGGCTGCATTTCTTTATTCATTCTAAACGTTTGGAATAAACTTTTTTGTTTACTTATTCTTTAGAACGTTCCTGATGATATGTTAACGTATATTTCAAACGCATTCTGTTTATTCCGGCTGTGAAATGGGATTATCCGGAATGTATAAAGAAACGCAGCCATTTATTTGCTTTCTACTTGCTTTCGTACCACTGCATCGTAACTATCTTTTGTATTCTTGTAACTTTACATTGCACACTTCGTTTTTTGACGTGAAAAGTTACCGCTCACAAACCGCCTAATTTGTTTTATACATTTAGCTGAATTTACCAACCGCAAATAATAGTATTACGAATAAACTACCAATTAAGCTAAATCAACTGCGTTTATTTTTCAATTGGATAACCCCGCTTTAAGTTTGA